GAGACGAGTCCGCTCTCTTGCCGGCTGGAGTGCAGTGGCGCTTTGTTCTATTAATTCATCCTCTCAGAGTTACATCTCTATTTTCAGTGGATCTCCTGCTAGGCCTTATTTTCTGTGGAATCTGAGAACAGATATTTCGGATCCCTTTGAAGACTATAAGGGCCAAAGGAAATATCCTCTGATAACAAAGAGAAAGAAGCTTTCTGAGAAATTCTTCTTATGTGTTTCTTTGAATCATCTCACGGGTTGGCATGCTTCCCCTCAAGAAGCCTTTCGCTTAGGACGAAGTTCTCTGTGGATCAGGTTCTGGCAACTGCAGTAGATGACTTTTGACAGACCCGCCAACATATGGAGGTGCTGTATGGTGTGTCAATGACACATAATCGCGCACATGCCCTCATCGCTCAGAGGAATATGGAAAAGAAGCTTCTGAGAAAATGCTTCACCAGTAGTGTATGCTGGGTTGATATTACTTATTAGGCTCAGAGTGACCCATGCCATCGCTATCATTTCGCTGTGGACCTCTGTGCTAACTTGTTCCTTCCTTATTTACTGGTAATTTTATTAGAGATGGTGGTTCACGGTTCGAGCCAGGATGTCTCGATCTCCTGACCTCGTTGTCCGCCCACTTCGCCTCCCAAAGTGCTGGGAATTACGTGAAGCACTGCGCCAGACCTCTTTTTTTTTTTTGGACGTTTCGTTCTGTTGCCCAGGCTGGAGATGGCAATGGCACGATCTTGGCTCACTGCAACCTCCGCCTCCCAGGTTCAAGCGATTCTCCTGTCTCAGCTCCTGAGTAGCTGGGATTACGGATTAGCAGGCAGTCTGCTGGCATGTGGATGAACAGATATTTCGCGTAAATCTTTGTGGGAGTATTTTATCTATAAGGTGTACGAGAGATGGAACTAGATATCTTTTAAACCATCTAGAGTGTTGAGTGATTTCAGGGTGGGTTTAGTGGCTCCCTGACTTCAGTGGTGTCACCTTAGTGGTTGGCCTTGCCCGTAACCAAGTTAACACTTTGTTTAGTGAACAGCTTGGCTCGTGGAAAACTGAAGATTATACCCCAAGTTGTAATCAGAGGTTACTATCTTGCAGGGTTGGGCTTACAAAACAGACTTTCTTTTTTTCTTTTTTTTTTGAGACGGAGTCTTGCTGTGTCCCCTAGGCTGGAGTACAGTGGCGTGATCTTGGCTCACTGCAAGCTCTGCCTCCCGGGTTCTGCCATTCTCCTGCCTCAGCCTCCCAAGTAGCTGGGACTACAGGCACCGACCACCGCACCCAGCTAATTTTTTGCATTTTTAGTAGAGATGGGGTTTCACCGTGTTAACCAGGATGGTCTCAATCTCCTGACCTCGTGATCCGTCCACCTCGGCCTCCCAAAGTGCTGGGATTACAGGCATGAGCCACTGCGTCCGGCCCCAGGCTTTCATTTTATATTGTATATGCTTCAATAAATATTTGAATGTTTTCACAACAAATTTGTTAGCTTTCTAATTAAAAATTTAAAATATTCTTAAATAAATTAAACCAACGGAGGTATTATTTGCTTCTCCCACTTCCCATTTTTGCCTTCTAAGAAAAGGACCTATATTTAAAGGGGGGAAAAAGTAATTTGGATTAAACCCCTGACTCCCGAGTCCTCTATAGCTCAGTGAATAGGAAGAACCACAGATGAGTATGCCCATCCAAGTGACAAAGGTGAATTGTCAAGGCTTCAAAGTACATGAGTAAAGGGTCAGGCGCGGTGGCTCACGCCTGTAATCCCAGCACTTTGGGAGGCCGAGGTGGGTGGATCACGAGGTCAAGAAATTGAGACCATCCTGGCCAACATGGTAAAACACCGTCTCTACTAAAAATACAAAAATTAGCCGAGTGTGGTGGCTTGCGCCTGTAGTCCCAGCTACTCAAGAGGCTGAGGCAGGAAAATCACTTGAATCCGGGAGGCGGAGGTTGCAGAGAACTGAGATTGTGCCACTGCCCTCCACTCCAGTCTGGTGACAGAGTGAGACACTGTCTCAGAAAACAAACAAAAACAAAGCCTACATGAGTAAGTAGAGCACCCTTGAGGGAGCTCTGCAGGCATGAGACAAACAGCCAGAACATGCATTGCTGCAGAAGCATCCACAAGTCAGAGGAAGAGGAGCCCCTCCTCTACCAAGAGCATAGGCCCAGCCTTGTGAAGGTTTGCCTGGCATGTGGGCTGTGGGTGACTGGAGAGACAACGGTCCCTGTCTGTTGTCATCCTGATCTTCACTCCCTGGCATAAGTGAGCACTCCCGTGACAGCACATTCATCTGTCTGGACAGCTGGGCTCCAGGCCAGTCCACAGCTGACCCACATAGTCCTCCCCTAAAGCACACAGAAGGCCCTACACTCCCACACTCACCAAGACCTCAGGATAAGGAAAAGTCTTCCTGTGTTCTTGTAGGAAAATCTCTTCTCTCGTATCTCACATGGATCCTGACTCACTAAGGAGGCAGTTCCCAAAGGCAACAGCCATGAGAGTTGGCCCCCAACATCAAAGGGGCCTGGGAGGGAGCAGTTGCTGGAATGGGAGAGGGAGCTGCATGGCGAGGGCTCCCAGACAGAGGTATGCCCTTCAGTTGAGGCATATGTGCTGACCACAGTGGCTTGGCAGAGAGGAAGCTAGAGGGAAAATTCCCAGATCTCTTCTCTTCTGCCCACGATTTCCTGCTTATATCTCCCATTAGCCAATTAAATACTTAATTGAATACTTAAATTTAAGAAATTCCAGCCTGGGCACATAGCCAGCCTCCCTCCCTACAAGAAAAAATTTTAAACTAGCTGGACATGGTAGCATGAGCCTATAGTCCATCCTACTCGGGAGGCTGAGGTAGGAGGACCGCTTGAGCCTAGGAGATTGAAGTTGCAGTGAGTTACTGCGCCACTGCTCTCCAGCCTGGGTGACAGAGCATGAAGGCCCTGTCTCTTTAAAAAACAATTATTTGTTATTCATCTGAAATTCAAGCTTAACTGGGCTTCCTGTGTTATTTGCTAAATCGGGCACAACCCTGAGCAGAGAACACCCTACTCCCTGCACACACACTCAGGAGCCCAGGAGGGCATGATGTCCTGAGCATGGCAGGAGGCCAGCCCTTGAGCAAGGATGGAGCCCCCCGCCGTGTACCCCCAGCCACCAACCCATAATGTAGAATGCCCGGCCTATATCTCTCCTACCTGTCTGTCTCACGCACTCCCTGCCAACGTATTTGAATAGATAACAACCAGTGTGGAATCTTATGTCCAAAATGCCACTCAGAAAGCTAAAAGTACAGCTATTATGAGCCTTCCCTTGCTCAGAAACCATCTAAAAATACTTGTGGACCAGATGAAATGAAAACATTTCCAGGTTTATTCCAGCAAGCAAGCAAGCATTTTCCCGGAAGCTTCAGTATTCCATAGCTGGTAACTTAAGCACACTTTTTTTGTTGTTAAGGCACAGCAATTGTAAACTCATCTCTTTGTGACCTTGAGCACTCCATCTTTATTTATTATTTTTTTTTTTTTTGAGATAGAGTCTTACTCTGTCACCCAGGCTGGAGTGCAGTGGCACGATCTTGGCTCACCACAGCCTTGATCTCCTGGGCTCAAGCTATCCTCCTGCCTCAACCCCCCAAGTAGCTGGGACTACAGGTGCATGCCAACACACCTAGCTAATTTTGTTTTTTTGTTTTTTTTTTTTTTTTAACCTCAAGCAGCTTTTTAAAGACGATTAGCCAAATTTGCAGCATAGTCTCTGACAGAGCAGACAAGTTATTTATTTTGAGTCAGGGTCTCGCTCTGTCGCCCAGGCTGGAGTGCTGTGGTGCCACCTTGGCTCACTGTAACCTCCGCCTCCCAGGTTCAAGCTATTCTCCTGCCTCAGCCTCCCAAGTAGCTGGGATTATAGGAATGTGCCACCATGCCCAGCTAATTTTTGTAGTTTTAGTAGAGACAGGTTTTTGCCATGTTGTCCAGGCTGGTCTCAAACTCCTGACCTCAAGTGACCCTCCCGTCTCCACCTCCCAAGTGCCAAGATTACAGGTGCAAGTCACCACGCCTGGCCAAGAAAAGTGACCTTGAGCCCTGCTATGTCATCACCTTCTTATACTGCTGAGTTGGGCATGAAGGACTTGGAATGAGTCAGTAAGAAGAAAAATTTTGTTTTTGGTAGGGGGAGTTATATTTCTTTGGTACTCTTCCAGAGGCGAGTTTATAAATGAATGAACTGGTGAATGAGAATATGTCCAGACGTGTGTTTTAATGAATTCTGCTCATCTTTTCCTGGGGCACAGAGGACACCCCAGTGCTCTGTCTTCATGGCCTAAGAAGTTGGGAACCTACTTGGGAAACTCTTATTATTTAAAAGGCTAAATTTTGGATGTTCTGTTTTACAGCAATCACTGAGGCAAGGGAAGAAGCCAAGCCTTACCCGCTATTCCCAGGACCTTTGCCAGGGAGCCTGCAAACTGACCACACATCGTTGTTATCCCTTCCTCACACCAGTGGGTACCAGCCTGCCTTGATGTTTTCACCAACCCAGCCTGGAAGACCATATACAGGAAATGTAGCCATTCCCCGGGTGACCTCTGCCGGGTCAAAGCTCCTACCACCTCTTGCCTTCAAACACACAGTTGGACACATAATACTTTCTGAACATAAAGATGTCAAATTTAATTGTTCAATCAGTGTACCTAATGTATACCAGGACACCACAATTTCTTGGTGGAAAGATGGGAAGGAATTGCTTGGGGCACATCATGCAATTACACAGTTTTATCCAGATGATGAAGTTACAGCAATAATCGCTTCCTTCAGGTATGTGTTCTTTCTTCCTTTTTTATTTTTTTAGTTTTAATTTTTACTTATTTATTTAGAGACACAGTCTCACTCTGTAGCCCAGGCTGGAGTGCAGTGGCACGATCTCAGCTCATTGCAACCTCCACCTCCTGAGTTCAAACAATTCTCCTGCCTCAGCCTCCAGCATAGCTGGGATTACAGGCCGACCACCACGCCCAGCTACTTTTTTTTGTTGTTGTATTTTTAGTAGATGAGGTTTCACCATGATGCCCAGGCTGGTCTCAAACTCCAGACCTCAGCTGATCCACCCACCTCGGCCTCCCAAAGTGCTGGGATTAGAGGCATGAGCCACCTTACCAGGCCTCTTCCTTTCTTTTTATTTTTTATTTTTATTTTGAGGTGGAGTCTCGCTCTGTCACCCAGGCTGGAGTGCAGTGGCGCGATCTGGGCTCACTGCAAGCTCCGCCTCCCGGGTTCACGCCATTGTCCTGCCTCAGCCTCCCGAGTAACTGGGACTACAGGCGCCTGCCCCATGCCCAGCTAATTTTTTGTATTTTTAGTAGAGATGGGGTTTCACCGTGTTAGCCAGGATGGTCTCGATCTTCTGACCTCGTGATCTGCCCACCTTGGCCTCCCAAAGTGCTGGGATTACAAGCGTGAGTCACCGCACCCAGCCCCTTTCTTTTTAAATGTCATTATGCTAATGCTGCCTCAAAAGCAAAAGCCTTCTGTTTTCTGTTTAAGCAACCCACTGGTCGCTTTATTTTATTTTATTTTATTTTATTTATTTATTTATTTTTTTTGAGACGGAGTCTCGCTCTGTCACCCAGGCAGTGGCCGGATCTCAGCTCACTGCAAGCTCCGCCTCCGGGGTTCACGCCATTCTCCTGCCTCAGCCTCCCGAGTAGCTGGGACTACAGGCGCCCGCCACCTCGCCCGGCTATGTTTTTGTATTTTTAGTAGAGACGGGGTTTCACTGTGTTAGCCAGGATGGTCTCGATCTCCTGACCTCGTGATCCGCCCGTCTCGGCCTCCCAAAGTGCTGGGATTACAGGCTTGAGCCACCGCGCCCGGCCCCACTGGTCGCTTTAGAGAGTTGAAGGAGAGCTGACTATGTGTTCAATCTGAGCTTGGCAGTGTTGGAACTGTTGGTTAGCAGATACTCAGGGGCTGGGCCTGGGATGCTACTTCCCACCTGACCTACATATCATATCAAGTACAGCTGGACCCAAGAGCTCTACCAGTGAGTGGGAACAGTGTTTCTTACCGGGTAGGAGGAGACTTCAAAATCACCCTGGGGCTTTTTAAACAGAGCAATTACTTGAGCTTGAGAGTTCTGGGCTGCAGTGTGCTATGCCAGTTGGGTGTCTGCATCAATATGGGGACCCCCCCCCCACTGCCACCAAAAGCAGGGGACCCATCAGGTTGCCTAAGGAGGAGTGAACTGGCCCAGGTCAGAAATGGAGCAGGTCAAAACTCCTGCACGGATCAGTAGTGCGACTGCACCTGTGACTAGCCACTGCATCCCAGCCTGGGCAACATCGTGAGACCCTGTCTCAAAAAAAAAAAGCCCGAAAAATAAAAACCAGTGCAGCTTTCTCATCCCTTCAGTTACCCTATCGTCCCTGCCTTCCACCTCTCCTCACTGCCTCCCAGTGCTGATGTATCCCCCGTGCACTGTGGGGCAGGAAGAGATGGAAGGTCTGTCTCTGGAAATGAGGCCCTAAGCCTCAGACCATCATCTCAGTACTCCACTTTGTTTTTTTTTTGTTTTTTTGTTTTTGTTTTTGTTTTTGTTTTGAGACGGAGTCTTGCTCTGTCGCCCAGGCTGGAGTGCAGTGGACGGATCTCAGCTCACTGCAAGCTCCGCCTCCCGGGTTCCGGCCATTCTCCTGCCTCAGCCTCCCGAGTAGCTGGGACTACAGGCGCCCACCACCTTGCCCGGCTAGTTTTTTGTATTTTTTTTTTAGTAGAGACGGGGTTTCACCGCGTTAGCCAGGATGGTCACGATCTCTTGACCTCGTGATCCGCCCGTCTCGGCCTCCCAAAGTGCTGGGATTACAGGCTTGAGCCACCGCGCCCGGCCTCCACTTTGTTTTTTAAGATCAAGCTAGATGAGGTGGGGTGTTGTGTGTGACAGGGATAAGCTAAGCCAGGACTTATATCTGGAATACTCTGTTTTCCCAGAGATCCAGCTGTCATGTCTCAGAATGCTGCAGATGGGCAGGTAGATGCTTCTCTTCTCGCCACCCCTTTTGTATTCTCCACCCTTTTGTCTTAGCCAGGAGGTGTTTTGCTTTTCTGTTTTTGTTTTTTCCATCAGGACTTTGTTGCATACACGGTTTTAGAATTGGGTTGGCCTGCGGTTGTTAAAAGCACAGAATGAGGTCAGAGCCACACAGCGTGGAAGGGAGAACCTTTTTCCTGCAATTCTTCCACTTTGGAACGGAGCCTTCTTTGATCTGTTACATTTTCACTTTCTCTGACATGATACTTGGCACCGTCCCACACTGTGTCATGCCTTTTAGTGAATCATTTTGTTTCCTTTTCAGAAAACCACCTCACAATTACCACAGACCTAACTACTTGGGTTAGTGTGCCAACACTTTCACAAGATGTGCCCTTTTTTTCACATTTTTCCCCCAGGTTGCAGGCTTGGTTAGTGGATAACCCCTTAGCCTCCAGGCAAATAATGCAACTTCCACATTACTCTGGCTGGGTCTCTCCGCAGCCATTCTCAGCCAGTGGCTAAGACTACTTAGGCGATTTGGCTATATTTTTTCTACACCAACTATAAAAAGCAGGTTTCTTACAATTATATAGACATAGCTTCTGAAGAGAGAAGTAAAACTATCATTTAATAATAAGTGAATGACTGAGGCGGGCAAATCACGAGGTCAAGAGATCAATACCATCCTGGCCAACATGGTGAAACCCCGTCTCTACTAAAGATGCAAAAATTTGCCAGGCGTGGTGGCGCACGCCTATAGTCCCAAATACTCGGGAGGCTGAGGCAGGAGAATCGCTTACACCTGGGAGGTGGAGGTTGCAGTGAGCTGAGATTGCACCACTGCACTCCAGCCTGGCAACAAAGCAAGGCTCCATCTCAAAAGAAAAAAAAAAAAGAAAGAAGAAGTGAATGAGGAGTAGTTTAAAGATTTCAGGAACAGCAAGCTGACACATTGGTCTCATTGGGTGTCACCTAGGAGGGGAGCATAGCCCTACCCTGCTGTCTGTCCGGACTTGGCCAGTGCATGACTGTGGGTGAGCTGCCTCATCTTCCCTGGTCTGTTTTCCAAAGGAAGAGATGAACTTGGACCATGTGACTGCCAGCTCTACTTCTGCTCTCAGATGCCATGAGCTGTTCAGAGGACTTAAATTGTAAAGTTTTAAAATTTTGATTAGTCAGTTTCTTGTTTTGGACCCATGTCTTTAGAGTGCAGAAGATGACCTGGGTGTTATTTTGAGAACTTTACAAATTTGGAGTAGAATTTATTCTACTGTTTGTATTCAGCTTATTACATATAAACTCATTCTAAAGGAGAAAAATCTTATTTGACCTCCAAACTAAGCCTGAAAGCAAATTTAGTGATCAGAATTTTTGCAAATGATGAGCATTTCATTGAATTAGGTAGCATACAGGATGATACCAAATTTGCCTGTGTATGATTCTTCAACTTTATTAAGGTAATGTTCAGGGGCACAGTAACTGTAGAGCGATTCAGTGAAATAAATTATAGTTGTAAGAGTTAAAGAAAGAGGAAATAAACACGAAATGCAGCTTAACCGTCAAAGATGGGTTTATTTTAGAGAAATAAACCTGAGAGGGGCTTCTGGCCGATTTCAGTGAGGAGCATTAACTTTTATAGCCTAAAAGCATATATTAGTTTTAGGGTAAGCGGCTTATCACAAGCTTGGAATATTTGTATGTTGGGGAGAAGTTTATGGCAGGGTTGGAATGTCTCTGGTCAGAGGGGAGGTTATCTTGGGGCTGATATCTCTCTGGGCTGAAGGGGACTTTATCTCGGGGCTGGTATGTCTCTGGTCGGGAAGGGGTTTGGAATGTTTTTGGTTGGAGATGTTATTTGTGGTTTATGGTCATGCTGACCTTAGCCATTAGGCTGATGCCCTTTAGATTTAGGCAGTTTTTAATCAAGGTGAACTTTAGAATGACAGTGCTTGTCCAAGATTGCAATACTCCTGCCCTGTCAATAGTTACTTAATCAAGATGACAAATATTTATATAATTTCTTGGCAAGAGAGGATGATGTTGGAGACCCTAAACGTGCAGTGTTTTTTAGGTGAGGACATTGAGCCCTGTGAGCAGGGTCACTAGGCAGTGAGCTGGTCTTGCTTAAACAGGGAGCCTGATTTGCACACCTGCAGTGACCTCTCTTCTCACATCTCCTGGGCCCTAAGGAAATCTACTGTGGCTCCCAGGAAGAGTGAAGAGTTAAAAAATAGTTTTAGGCTTTCAATATATGTAATTTTATTAGAAATTCATTAGCCTGCAATTTTGCTGGAGTTGCCATTAGCAACATCTGTATGGACTATGTTTATTCAAGAGAATATGCAGTTAAAATCACTAGGGGAAGAGAACATGGATGTATATTGGCAGGCGTCAAAAGGACTCTAGAGAGAAACACCTGGTATTTTCAGTTTGGTCATGGGACCTTTTTTTTCTGAAAGGTATTAGGATCACACACAGAAATTCCCATAAGAATTTGGCCGTGTGTGGTGGCTCACGCCTGTAATCCCAGCACTTTGGGAGGCCGAGGTGGGTGGATCATGAGGTCAGAAGATCAAGACCATCCTGGCTAAAACGGTGAAACCCCATCTCTATTAAAAATACAAAAAATTAGCTGGGCGTGGTGGTGGGCGCCTGTAGTCCCAGTACTCGGGAGGCTGAGGCAGGAGAATGGCATGAACCTGGGAGGTGGAGCTTGCAGTGAGCTGACATCAAGTCACTGTATTCCAGCCTGGGCGACAGAGCGAGACTCCGTCTCAAAAAAAAAAAAAAAAAAAGAACAGGCAGAATTTATGTGAATTTTTAAAATGATGAGGTCTCTAGATTGAGGAGGACCCCATACTCTGTATCAGAACTCATTCTTTAAATATGACACAATTGTGAGTTACTAGAGACTGACCCTGTGTTTATCTTTCTTTTCATTATACTTTGAGTTCTGGGATACATGTGCAGAATGTGCAGGTTTGTTACATAGGTATACACGTGCCATAGTGCTTTGCTACACCCATCAACCCATCATCTGCCTTAGGTATTTCTCCTAATGCTATCCCTCCCCTAGCCCTTACCTCTGACAGGCCCCGATGTGTGAAAGTTCCCCTCCCTGTGTCCATGTGTTCTCATTGTTCAATTCCCACTTATGAGTGAGAGAACATGCAATATTTGATTTTCTGTTCCTGTGTTAGTTTGCTGAGAATGATGGTTTCCAGCTTCATCCATGTCCCTGCAAAGGACATGAACTCATCCTTTTTTATGGCTGTGTAGTATTCCATGGCATATATGTGCCACATTTTCTTAATCCAGTCTATCATTAATGGACATTTGGCTTGATTCCAAGTCTTTGCTATTGCGAATGGTCCTGTAATAAACATATATGTGCATATGTCTTTATAGCAGAATGATTTATAGTCCTTTGGGTATATACCCAGTAATGGGATTGCTGGGTCAAATGGTATTTCTGGTTCTAGATCCTTGAGGAATTGCCACACTGTCTTCCACAATGGTTGAATTAATGTACACTCCCACCAACAGTGTAAAAGTGTGTTCGTATTTCTCCACATCCTCTCCAGCATCTGTTGCTTCGTGACTTTTTAATGATCACCATTTAAACTGGTGTGAGATGGTATCTCATTGTGGTTTTGATTTGCCTTTCTCCAATGACCAATAATGATGAGCTTTTTTTCATATGTTTGTTGTCCGCATAAATGTCTTCTTTTGAGAAGTGTCTGTTTATATCCTTTGCCCACTTTTTGATGGAGTTGTTTGTTTTTTTCTTGTAAATTTGTTCAAGTTCTTTGTAGATTCTGGATATTAGCCCTTTGTCAGATGGATAGATTGCAAAAATTTGTTGCATTCTATAGGTTGTCTGTTCACTCTGATGATAGTTTCTTTTGCTGTGCAGAAGCTCTTTAGTTTAATTAGATCCTATTTGTCAATTTTGGCTTTTGTTGCCATTGCTTTTGGTGTTTTCATCATGAAGTCTTTGCCCATGCCTATGTCCTGAATGGTACTGTCTAGGTTTTCTTCTAGAGTTTTTATGGTTTCAGGTCTTACATTTAAGGGGAAGAGAAGGGAAAGCATCTGGTCTTTGGTCCTAAAACAGCACCGGTCCAAGTTGAAGATATGGTTTAGAGTATCTAATGGCCCAGAGCTTTGGTTACTCCTCACACCTTCCATTGCTCTGACACCCTCTTTCCCGTAGTGGCCCCTGCTGTCATATAGCTCTCTCCCTTCCAAAGGAAGAAAGGACTGTGATAAAGTCATTCACTCTAAGGAAAGCTGTAACATTCACTGGCGATGTCATTTTAGACACCAAGAAATAGAGCTATTATAAAAATCAATACACATAGGCAAGTACACGCTAGTTATCAAAATGGCCTTCCTTGCATATGAAGTTGTTCTTGGCAATTCATTGTTTGTCGGTGGCATAGTTAACTGAATGGATGGCTGAACATTGAGGCAAGTTGGACAGAACTGGTCTCTGTCCTTCTGCTTGTGGTTGTGAACAGAATGGAGGGGAAGGGCCAAATCAAGCATCAGATGCAGCAGTGCTAAGGTACTGTTGCCTTCAGATTTTAGATTTGTCCTTGAAGTATTGATTTAGAGGAGGAGGAACTGGCATCAAGACTGGGGGAGGTACACTTCTGCCACTCAGGAGCAACCACATCTTGCAATCAAACCTCAGTTAATTGAAACTTGGTGAAGAAAGATGGAAATAATAGGAGCTCATGGGCATGTAAGTACGAATCCCATGTACTCTGGAAAGACTAAGGGAGATTTGGCATCATGCATGAGAGTGTCCCTGAAAGATTTTTGAAACTACTTGGTCTTAGCTCGTGTGTGTGTGTGCGTGTGTTTAAATTATTTTAATAGTAATATATGTATTTTGTCAAAAACTTGGAAAATACCAAACAAGTACAAATAAAGAAACAATGGCTTATAATCACAACTCTGAGAAAAATTTTCCAAGTATATATAAATAA